GTAAAAACATGTGCAAAGGAGTGCCTCACTCAGCAGATAGTCCTCATGGGATCTCAGGAAGCCTCCGTGAAGGGGGCTTTTTGAAGGGTATCTGAGAGAGGGAGTCGGTCCGTGTTCCCTCAAATGGGAAACGAGCGGCCGCGCATCCTGCTATAGGAGGGGGGCTAAAGTATGGGAGGGGGCAACGGAGATGAGATGCCTCCGGGCCCTAGAGAGGTCTTTACGCAGCAAGGATCTGGCATACTGGCACTAGATAGCATGAAGGAAGCCCGGCGTCCGCAAAACACTTTTCATTCTCCATTTGTCAGAGCTTTCTGTCCTGTTCTCTGCAGGAGGTAACAGGCCTTGCACTCCAGTGGGCTTTGCCAACCCATCCTGCCACCAGGCAGGTGGGTTCAATGCTTCCACCCAGTATTAAACCAAGCTTAAGTCCCCTTCATTGTGGTTTCGATGAATGAGCAAGAGCGAGGGAATAAAGGAGCTGATTTATCATCCTCCATTTTCTCCTCTGAGATGGGCAGGGTTTCTGCCCGTATGAACAGGAGGGGATATGGTGATAGATTCCCTGGCCTTTAATCTCGCGCAGGTCCTACATAGGGTTTTGGCACTGACGGTGGGCATTTGTAGCAAGGATCTATTCCCATTGCAAAGGATACCCCCTCTCCCCCCATGTTTTTAGAGAGTTTTTCTCTCTGCGTCCCTATAAGAAAGCAAAATTATTATTCCTGTTTTTCCCACTGGGGACCTGGATTCCAATGATACGTACTACGCTGTTCGTTCAGTGCTGGTCGGAGTATGCTCTCAAGACCAGCCCTATCACACCATCTCCATTCTTGCCCCAGCCTGACCCTGTGGAGAAGAGTTTCTGTGAATCAAGAAATTCTGTCAGTCACTAAATTGTGCAGGACCAAGACCTTGTATGGACAGCGTGGGTGTACACAGCTGATATTTCAGGCTAGCAGATGTTTGGACCTGTTCAGCACAAACACTCTTTTCCCTGTAGAGCAGCCTATGGACAGCAAGGACTGCTGCTGGCCAAGGTGTATCAGCTAAGGGTGGGTGAGTAACAGACACCACAAGTTACGACGGCTGTTCGTTAGCAGAGCTAGGTGGGAGAGCCCAGGAGGGGAGCAGCGGTCAGAGTTACAGGCTTCAGGCAAAGTGAACGCAGTGAATGCAATAAGGAGGGAAGCTGCAGATCAAGCCTGAAGTATTTGAAGAAGAGAAGGCATCCCAGCACCTGGTTTTTACTAGCATATTAGTATCTGATATTCATGTCCTCTGAGATTCATCCAATTCACCAACCAATGAATATTACTAACATTTCCTGTTGCAGAAAATACTATTGACAAAGGAAAGAGAATGTCAAGAAAGTACTTTTTAATGGTTATTTATTTATATTGAATGGTACTAGAGCGTAATTAAATATGATGTGAATAGTATGATATTGCACCATTGTCTTGTCTTGCAGCGTTAGTGCTTACTCCTTTTACAGGAAAACACAGTGGACTCTGTAATGGAGAATGTATCAGTTTTAGTTGTTCTCATTTTAAGGGTACTCACTTCAGTCTTCATCTGACCCAAATGCTACACTAGAAATTCAAGCAAAAACATTTCAGGTCCCTGACGCTGGTGCCTGCATTATGGAGATAAAGAGACAGAAGGAGTCAGGAGAATATAGCCTAAACTCTGTAGTCTCATGGCACCTCTAGATGTCATTTTGGTGACATGGTGACCATCCCTACTGAGATATTGCTCTGCAAAGGCGCTGACCACAACTCAGAAGTGAGTGGTGGCCAAAACGTAGGGCAGGCAGTCAGTTCTCCATCACAAGGGAGAGGGGAAAGGTGCCACAAGCTGTCTGCTGGGTGACGTTATTGAGGTCTGCTCTGCAGGGTGCACCGTATCCACTCCAGCTCTGTTGGGCCAGGCAGCTCCTCCAGCACCCTGTCCTCCCCTCTGGGAAGAGCCAGGACAAGCTCTCCTGGCAGCACTATGGTAAGACATAAGGGATCTCCTGCAGGAATGTGGTGCCATAGTCTCTCCCAGTTGGTTCTGGGGGTCAAGAGACGTTTTTCAACTTCCTCCTGGAGGAGGATCAGTTGCTTAGGACAGCATGTGATGGGAAACAGGCAAGGGTAGTAGCTCATGGTCCTCTGCAATACGGCCCACTGCATCTTCTGGGCAAGGGGGGGACACCCAGGAGCAGCACCAACAGGGTAACGAAGCGCCTGCGCTAAGTCCTTACAAGGTCCAGTCTAACCAACTGCACACCGTTTCAGTCCCTGCTTCTGCCAGTCCCTGTAAGCTACAATCCACTGGGAAAAATGTATGAACTGAAATTGGGGCAGTAGATGTCAGTGCAATGGGATCAGGTAGGGAAACAACTCTAAGTCTCTTGGTTCTTCCTTCTCTCTCTCCAGACCGGAGGAGAATGGATGGGCCTATTTGACAGGAGCCCACTGCTGGCTAATCCACAAGCCTGGGAGAAGCTAGTAGACCCAGGTCCTGTTTCTAATGCTCTCACTGATTTACTCTGCCATTTGGCCAAGGTATGTGACATCAGCCTATCTGGGTTTTTTTTAACAGCAAGGGACCCACCTCCCAGAAACATGGAAGCACTTTTAAGACTCTTTTGAGGAAGCACTGCTAAAAATTTAGCATGCTAGAGTACAAGCCAAATCCATACCTCTGTAATAAAAAAAAAAAATCACATTCACAGAAGTGTTGCTTAAAGTGCAATGTGAAGTTTACGAGCCAAGATCCTGCGAAAGGCTGAGAAAGACCTGCCGTGGCCAAAGGTACCTGAAACATCCACCCCACTAGAAAACACAGTCACCCCTCCCAAAAAAGAGGGACAGCTCTGCTTGGCTGTAGTGGCTGGAAGCTTCTACAATGCCTGTACGAGGTCTAATGCTACCTTCCTCTTCCCTTGATAGAAACCCTGGGGACTGGGAGGGCAGTGGATAAGACACATCGGCCGACACTGCACGAGCACCCTGCTTGATACCACTGTAACACCAGCACATGGTTCCTCCCCTCCCTGGGCTCTGCATTTTCAAGGCCAAGCTTTCCCAGCCACCCTGCTGCAGGCCCCAGGAGGCAAAGGAGGAGAACGGGAAAGAGAAAGAGCAAGCAAGAATGAATCTTATTAAATGGAGCGAGGTACTTCTCTCTGTCTCTCATCATGTTCGGGGCTGATTGGAGATGAAATTGCACTTCGAGGGAGGGGAAGCCCCCTCCCCGGGACAATCCAGAGGCTCTCGCACAAACTTAATTTCAAGCTCTGTTGAAGACGGTGTTTGTCTTTTTTTTTTTTCTTTATGCATTCAATTTAATTTCTCAGGCAGACGTGTGAAAATGAGAAAGGCAGACCTTTGACTGTGAAGATAGCCCAGTGCCTGCTTCTTACAAATCTAGTCTCACGTTGTTTTCCTCCATCACTGCCCTCAATAAATCTGTGCACAGGGGTTGCTAAAATGCCCGCCACCTCCCTTCCACACTTCGGTGGAGACAGTTAAATTTTTTTTTTTTGCATTTAAGCTATCTGATTCATTTTTAATTCAGAACACACCCCAGCTTTCCACAGCTCTGTTTAAAAACAGGAGAGCTGTGACCTTGAAAAGGCTCGGGCCTGCTGGCACCATGAAGTTCTGATCTGAACTCTGCTCTCCAGTCCATGCTTGCTTGCTCTCTTGTGAGAAAAAGGCTCGTGGTGGTTTCTGATCCACCCATTTTGGTGACGACGGCTGAAGGGGAAGAAGAGGAGCTGCATTTGGTTTTGGAAGGCTCCTGAGGGAGACGTTCCTGGAGATTCAGCTCTCCCAGCCCACACAAACACATGCTCTTCGGCTCCTCTGCAGACAGTTGATCTGGCTAATTGTATGTTAGTTTTCCAGTCTCAAGAACATATACACACACAGGTGAGAACACAGATCGGGGTAGGCTGGTGCCTTTCCAGCTGACCTGCTGCTTCTGCCCAGGATCTGACACAGGGTGACAATTTTTTACTTGGTTCCTTTGTTTGTTTCACAGTCGACGCAGGGATTAATTCTTTCCTGTCTGTGGCATTGTAGTTGCCGGAGCTTTCGGCAGAACAGTAAGCGTTGCTTTGTTTTATGGAGGAGAAGACAAGCAGGGTGGGTTTGCCGTGGTCACAGAGGGAATGGCACAGGGAGAAGGTGAACGGCAGACTCACAGCAGCGTGCAGGAAAAGCAACCTTTGCAGCAGCAGCATTGGGGGGGGGGGGGTTCAGTAAAGAAAGACTTT